CTCCTCCTCCTCCTCCTCCTCCTCATCATCATCATCATCATCATCCTCATCCTCATCATCCTCATCATCATCATCATCATCATCATCATCATCATCATCATCATCATCATCATCATCATCATCATCATCATCATCATCATCATCCTCATCATCATCCTCATCTTCATCATTATCCTCATCATCATCATCATCATTATCATCATCATCCTCATCTTCATCATTATCCTCATCATCATCATCATTATCATCATCATCCTCATCTTCATCATTATCCTCATCATCATCATCATTATCATCATCATCCTCATCTTCAACATTATCCTCATCATCCTCATCATCATCATCATCATCATCATCATCATCATCATCATCATCATCATCATCATCATCATCATTATCCTCATCATCATCATCATCATCATCATCATCATCATCATCATCATCATCATCATCCTCATCTTCATCATCATCGTCATCCTCATCCTCATTATCATCCTCATCATCATCATCATCATCATCATCATCATCATCATCATCATCATCATCCTCATCCTCATCTTCATCATCATCATCATCATATTGTGATATTCCAGCGACATGCTGTAAGCAGGCCCAAGCCACCAGTAAAAAACGTTAATATTTTCGTAATTTTAATATATAAGATATAAACCAGCAGCCCAGGACCTCAGGGCTTCCTTTTCAGCAGAATTAGGTTGGTTATAAGGGACCTGAAGGTCGTGAGTTCCTCTACCTCATTGATGTTGTTAAGCGGGATATTCCATAGGGTAATAGATCTTGGTAGGAAACGGACCACATGTGGCAACTTTATCGTGAGTCCTATAAAATACGAAATACGTTAAAATGTGTCTGCTATTAACAGTCAAAGGCGCACTGAAAATCATTTCAGTTACAAGAGATACTGAAATAGTATAACAAGATATGCTGAGAACATAAAAACAAGTATTATGTCTCTGTGAATTCATCTCATCCTTGAATGAAAGCACATATATATGTGTAGATAGGAGTTTAAATTCACTTTGCGTTGGGGCGAATATATTGTGCAGAATTTCTAATTTTGTCCGTAATGTCAGTAAATTTATTTTTTCCGAAGGTCGGCCAGGGGGTGGTGGGGGTGGTAGCATTACATTCATATATTTGAATATGTATGATTATACTTCTCCTTGATTACTTTATTTGCATACATCTATAACTACCATTGACTAGGATATATCTTCAATTTAAAGTAACGCTCCTTCGACTACAATGTCATATTTATAATTTAAAGTATAACAACTGTTCATTACTACGTCTCTACGTATCAGTGAAATCCGTCAAACTTTATAAATCATCAAGCACACTTGTATAAATATTCAACAACTAAGTAACAAACCTCAACCTTTCCTTTGTCGTATCTTACACAATGGACACAGAAGTGTAATTTTAAATCAATTACAATACATTGTATGTCTTCTTTGTATGTAGTAGAGAGAGTGCACCTTTGTTTTCACTGATCATAAAATTTCTGCCTTAAGTAATAACGTGCTTCAAAGGTTTTTTAAATGTGTTGAAGAATCACCTCATTGTATGCGTAAAATTAATTATACACACTTGTCAATTTTTCCTGATGTTCATTTCCATTTTGTTGAAATTCTGATGTTGAGGAGGTGTGTTTGTAATAAAAACCTATTTGGTCAAACAGATGACCCTAACCTTTTCACCGCCGATCAGGGAAAGACCAGTGCACTATCCACAACGCCGATCGACCTCCCTCAAATGCTGTATCGAAAGTTTTAAAGGTGCATTCACCTTAACGAGATGTATAACTGTATAGTCAATATATTTTAACATGTAAATATATACGAATGTTTAACAGATTTAATAAATAAATTAATGCTTTGATATGTTAAGGGAACAAACGCTTACATTGTAAACATACGTACTGCTATTTTGAAGGATTACTTCCCCTTGAAAATTAATTCATTATATTTTGGTAATTGAAGATTATGTTATGTTTTTCAATGTTGATATGGTTGATAAGCATTTTTGTGCCACACATTGGATGTAGCATTGTCACGTAAAAGTAACTGCAGTTCCTATGTTACACTTGTGTATTGGCAGGCAAAGTGAATAAAAGCCTCGTCAGTTGAGTACTTAGGGGACTGTATTGCCCAAGGATGCAGTTAAAAGCCTGGTCAGTTGAATACTTAGGGGCTGTATTGCCCAATGGTGCAGTAAGTCTCGTCAGTTGAATACTTAGGGGCTGTATTGCCCAATGGTACAGTAAGCGTTTTCTTTGTTTGGATTTCTGCAAAATGTCATTATATAGACATTTTATTAAAGGCGTTTTGTTTCTCTATCAAAAGGTACAATTAGGTTGTACCAGGTATATCACGAACTAAGATATTCTCTTTCAGAAATGCTGTAATAAAATAGATTGATGTTCTAACAGTGATTTATTCTTGAGGCTATGAATTTTATCATAGATATTAACATAAATGTTTTGTTTAACTATCTGCTATACCATGAGACCAAAAGGATCAACAAGAGTTGCCCAAGCACGCGCGACCCTTAATTGGGGTATTTGGGAAAAACATGTTCCGATGTTATAAAGAGGGAGCATGTACCATTTAACTGAAATTGTAATTTGAAAGAACGATTTATGATTACTGGATGAGTTTTGTATCGCATGGACTGTCGACTTACTCTCAGATGAATTGTACATCGGTCATTTATTCCTTTTATCTGCTTTATTAAAGGAGCAGTTAAACTTCTTTACTGTTTTGGGTGTATTTGGGTTTTTTTGAAGAAAATGTTAAGTGTATACAATGTATTCCAAGCACTCAAAATATCACGGAGAATATACTTTTAATTTGGCATCACGTGTCATCGTTTGTTTACAAGCTAAACAGTGAAAGGGTTCAAATATATCATTTAACAATCGACCTATAAACATATAAGACAGGTATTTTTGCTTTGTAGCAATTGTTCTGAATTTAATATCACAAAACTTGTATTTTATTACGAAGTGGAACAACTGAACACGGATAGCATATACGAACAGACAAGGATTTGTATAGTTAGTAAACGCACCCATGTATCTGAAATAGTAATCAAATGAACGGTGATGACGTAATGAAACGTGGGGAGAGGAACTATTTATACTATGAAGACGAGACTGTTTAAATCCTGTGTCAGTGCTCTTTGTACGACTTATTACTTAATTGTTTCTGTTGTGTCGATACAGCATGACAGTCCATTTAATGTAGTCATTATGAAATGATAACGAATACTATTCGGAATAAACGGTCTGATGAGTCTCCCTGATCAGATATTAGCTCTAAAGACTGTACATAAAGGTCTCATAAGTAATAACAGAGTGGTCCAATGTGGGCACTTAATTAGAACAAAAAGATGTTTGTTGGATGCATAGTACTTCAATCGATATACATGAAAGAGTAAAGAATGAAAAAAACAAATTGTGGATGTGGTCTGCCAGTTTCATCTTATTCAGGGGACTCTTCAGATAAATAAATTACCAGTTAATTAACTACACAAATTCAAACTACACAAATTCAAACTACACAATATTTGATGTGTTTTTTTGCGTTGTTTGTTGGGTCCGGTTTTGTATTTTAGAATAATGATGTACGTGATACCTGTAACGCTCCACCACAGTTTCTAAAACAACACAAAACACCAATCGTATATCATGTTATTTTAATCAAGCTTATTTACAGGATGGGGTAGTCACACTGTATACAATATATATATACATCAATCAAAATTACAAAAATACATCTTAACAACCAGTGTATGTCAGTATTTTGACGACAATAGAAGCCTTGTCCAAACTTCTATGATTTCTAATTCTAACAAACGGTAATTAGTTTCATCATCAATGGAGGACAAGAATAATATCCTCCTGAAGCCCTACCCATTTAGTTTACTAACTTAAATAGTCAGTGGAGGACGGTTCATTTAAAATCGCTCCTTCATAAATCGATATCTTTGTGTCATATCAATATTTTCACAACAAAAAATAAATGCATATTTATAATTTGGTAAGTTTGTTTTGGAATTCTATGCTGCAAATGCCAAGCAAACTGGGTGATATTTTAAAGGGATTTTCATCTTTTCGTTAATGTGTATTCATTATCTTGTCTGGAAAGATAGTTGCAAAATACAACACCTTTCTAAAATTCAGACAGGGTGATTTGACTTACTTAACGTACTGTAATTATAGTACGACACATCACTTTATTTTCGCGTGCACTTTATTTCGTTAACTCTGCCTAGGGTTTCAATCAGGAACACGTTTATACCGATAGATTATGGTACTTCAATACTGGTCGTTATTACAAACAGAATCAATTTCGCGTCAGATTTGAATTTGCAAATCAGCCACCTCGCCAGTTAACGCAGAAATTTAATCCACGCGAAAATAAATTACGTTATCTTACAAAGGCTAAGTGGATTTGCTTAAAGCTGACCCATACCTGAAACGTTTGTTTTCCCTCAATAATGAACACTTGTCGGTGTTATTGAAGGAGGAATATATGCATTGAAGACCTGTCACGTCCATTACATTACTAGAATTATTAGCAATTCATGATAAAACTTATCTTCATTACATATCTGAAATTAGGTATGTTTAACTTGTAACTAAATTGCGTATCACATCATGATTACCAATTAAAAATATTTAAAGACACACGTCTTAAATAATCTGTGTCACAAGTCATAAAACATTACGTCACACGTTGTAAATAATATACGTCATATGTCTTAAACAAATATATGTCGCATACTCAATGTCCTGAAATTGCAAAATGGCTAAACTGCAGATAACAGGTAAAAAAACTCAAGGCTCTATCAATTTACACAATAGGATAAAGTATTTATATTACATGTCAACAAATTTTAAGGCAGCGTATAAGAATCGCATGCATCACATGTTTGCAGTCATCACACACTGCAATTAAGGCATATTGAATAGCAGGATACTCTTTAAATCCCCCATTTATCCACTATACTGATTTTTACATATTCACTTTTAACACGGAAATCCCGAAAATAATAGTACGCAGCGAAAGTTTCATGACATTAAGCAAACGGCACACGTCTAAAAGCATGAAAAACACACATTCTTACTGTCAAGGACACAATAATAAACCGAAATGCGTTAAGATCACGATATAAGAAACAATACTCACTATAAAAGCACTGATAGAATATTATCAACATCACATATAACAATAGCTGGTCTACTGGCAAGTTCTTAAAAAAAGAGACATCCCGGCCTGAATAACGACGTCTGCCGCCCTATCAGTCATTTATTTAAATCCTTATGTGTTACAAACTAAAATAGCCTATATCACAAACTGTTGGGTCTATTTCTGACATTTTACTGTATAGTATGACAATAGCAACGTCATCAAGCATTACAATGGTTCGAATCATTCCATTTATATTAAGGCCGGTGCCATTCCGACACAACTTTGGTTTTCAGGGTATTATGTTGAATTCAGTATAAAACATCGGTGTAAATTGATTAATGGTTGTAAGGTGACAACCGGGGTATCCCACTTAATGATACGCCACCTAAGTATTTGGTCTCTCAATGCAGGGGGTCTCATATTACAGGTCCAGTTAACCTAAACAAAAATGCAATGGGGACTTATGAGGAAGCGGTCTATTAACACAGGTGGTCTCTTGAAAGAGGCGGTCTGGTCTCTCGAACATGGTTGACAGTATTAGCTCTTGATCTGAGCAAATCAAAATACCTGTCATTTCCAGTTTTATACAATACAACAACTTTAAATTAATGAATTCTGCTGGTGATTTTTGGTAGATTATTTTAAGTATTTTCTTTTATTATTTCTGTAACAAACGGTTGCAATATATATCGTATCGCATGGAATTCGTCCCCCCACGATAAATTTTTTAATGTGACCTTGACCCTTTGCGACCATGTGCGGAATTAATTAGGCTGTTGCAGAAGACCACATGGCGGGTCAGTCGTAGATAGCCACCACAAGTATCAGGGTAATGGTAAAAGCTGTCGCAATACCCATATGGAAAACCAAGAGTAACTTCTTTACTGTGCTGTCCTGAAAACAAAGGTTGTTGATTAAGGATTAGTGTCATTCCATATAATTATTTTAGGTATCATTATACTGTTCATCATAATATTAATATTACATGTATTTTTTTCTTTTTAGTTGACTCATGTCATTATAGTTATGCAAAAGGTATAATGTACAGAATTATAATTGATTGTTTTCTTGACAAAACATGTCCAAATTTTGTTCCAGAAATTTCTCTCCATTCACGGCTATTTGCCATTTTATCGTCCAACGGATATTATCAGCGGTACAGAAATATCGGTTGAGCCTACTACGTACCTTTGGGTTTTTAATCGTGTCCCTTTCAGTGTAAGCAGGAGGTGGCGCTTTAAAGTGGTTCCCATGGTTACCATTTTGTGCCGTAGCTCCGGTGTTGGTCATTCCCAGAGCATCAATTCGACCTAGCGTTAGTATGATAGTCAATTATTAAATCTAATGAAAATAAGATCACATATTTTCTATTTTTCGACAGATTTTAATAGAGCCGTTAAGTCTTCTCAGGATGTAGTAACCATAGGTATAATACGATTAAAATGTAATTGGTAATCTCTTTCCCCAATGACAGTATAGGAATTAAGAATCAAATACGGTTAATTTGGTATAATGCATTACATGTACACATTCACATACAGCACTTAGGTATATTAATTAATGTAGTGTTCTATGTGCAGCATAGTAATACATGTTTTCCCTTATTACAGATAAAGTCACCTTGAAAACACTCATTTGTAATTTTAAAAGATATCATGTAACACAGATGTATATTCCTTACCTGTGTCTGATTTGTCCAGGTAGAGATCAAACGATTTCAGTACAATTTCCATGATAACATGGTATATCACATATCCTACCACTACCCACACGGAGTAAGATGGGGCAGTCGATTTCTTCATCTCCAATCCAAAACATATAGCTATCACTGCAAAACAATCGACAGAAATATAAATAATTTGTATATATCTGATATAGTTCGTGCCCTTGTACAGCTAGTTATATCTACGAAACAATCAAAAGTATCTATTTTTTACAAAAAATCATTTTTCAATATCATTCTGATACATGACGTTATATTAATAGAATGTTTTCGCCATATCACCCTAGATGTGAGTTCGTATAACTGTATTTTTCATATGTGTATGATGCTATAACCTGATAAAATAAGACTTACCAGATAAGATGTGGGCAAGCATACCCACGGACCAATGTGCCCAATTAAAGATCGGTCGTTTTTCGTCTTTTGGACCTGGTCTGAATATTGACATGATCGGCTGGAAATAAATATTATATGTATTTATTAAACTGTATGGTATATTGGTGAGCTTAATCAGCTATTGCGGCGGAATATCGTGAGTCGCATACCTTTATACCTATTCTTCTTTCTCATCAGATTAAAGAATAGAAAGGAACGACGACTTAAGATTTATTTTTGCGTTAATGCTATCAAGGAGCTAAATCATCTAAATTTCTTCAAAACATTTCATTTCAAAAAACGCCATCAACACGTACATGTATGACACATTGTGGCATTGTCAAGCTAGCTACTTCAAACTGTGAAAATATATTAAAATGTTTTTGCTTTTGAAAATAAAATAACAATGTGTGAATATTTATGTGTATACTTACATTTACAATCGCTAGAATAGTAACAATTATACCAAGTGGAGGGTGGGCTTGTAAGTATTCTTTTCCTTCTATTTTTGGTATCTACAAATACAATCAAATGCTTCAATTAACACAGTTAACAAATAGGAATCGCATACAACAGCTTTTAAACCACACACATACTTTAAATTCTGTTTCAACTACAATTACTTTCAAGTTCCATAAAACTAGGTGACCATTACGACTTCAAATTAGTAGCTATGTCCATAAACTACAAATATTAATACAATTGTTTTATCTTAAACAAGAAGGATGATTGATCATTTTGTACTAGTTTGTTTTTACAGAAAACGGCATGGTGTCGACGCAGTATTTCTATCGCGTCGTCAAAATAACAGCTCATCAAAAATGTAGTCACAAAAAAGATGTTGCAACATATATGCGTTTTGTAAAATATTCAGTGCTTGTTGTTCTATGATGTAAATGTGTGGTATTTCGGTATGTGATCAAAACTTCGTGGCGATTCCACAAATAAAGCGAAAATAAGATACTCACAAAAATGCCCTGATATACAGAATATCATAATTTGACAGGCATGTGATATTAGAGATACTACATGGTCATCATTACAATACTATTTGTATAGAAACCAAATATAAAGCGTGAATTTGACTTATTATGATTATCACCTGGCTATATCCTCCCACTTCAACGAATATAATAATAAAGCCGATCAGTGTCAACACTAAAGCAGTCACCATACACGTTCTGTGAATCTGAAATTAAAACAAAACACATCTCAATTACTCTGTCGACAAGATTACAATAACTCTTGAAAAATGTTTAAAAACATGTCGTCCATCTTGGAAAGACGACACGCATTGAACCGATGCAAATAAAACACCTAATTATACTCGGTCAAGATACTTCTTGGACTTGGATAACAATAACATTATTTCTAATTCCTTTCTGAACTGCCTTACCTGAAACCATATTCTCTGGCCCATTATATTTGTGGTGGTCCACACGGGTTTGTAATACCGAGCAGCAACAATCCCTACCCCCGTACACAGGATCCACGCTATAATCATCAGGATAGCTGCAACATGGAATCACAGTTTGATTAGGGATGTCGCCCATAATATGCAACACTTACTATAAAACACGTGTTGTTTTTGTTACTTCTTAGGATCACAACCTATATCTATATGAAAAATGTGTCCTACATACGATGTGAAATGTTAAACAGAATGGCTTTTAATTCACTTGTTAATTTTATTTTCATGTTTATCATATTTTTAATAATCTAGCACCAGAAATGAAAGCTTTTTATTTTGTTCAATTGGAGAAACTGATATATCTATCTTTCGACAATACGCCCACAATAGTATGGGGTGTAGCTAGTAACCCAGTAACCGCCATTACAAAGAGTATTGAGTGGTGTTAACGTAAAGGAGATCAGATATATTTACCATGGATTTTGATGAGCGGGTATCTGGCCGTCTCCCCAATGACATCTACCGACTGAAAGTCAACACGGCTAGGAGTAACCACCGGGTTATCTCTGTGCATCGATTTTGTGAAACCTGTAACAAAATCATCTCGAGTTTATGCTCTTAACAATATGTACCCTATTAAGTAGACATCTAAAAACGATAGAATCTTTAGACCAATGGTGGGTGGGTGGGCGGCATAAACACATACTCGCGGTAAGTTAAAAACGAGTCATAAAGAGAAGGTCTTATGATCAGCTTGTAACATTCCCAGCTCGGTTTGAGAACATGATACATCATAGTACATCACTCTGACAGAATATCTATGGCTTAAAGTTTGGTTGCACTATGTTATCGATTATCATACCCTTCCGAGCCTGTTTTCTCTTTGCTCCAAGTCATATTCTGTACCCAAGCCTAATTCCGTGTTCTGGTAATAAATAAGCCCAATTGCACATTTTTGTCACAAACAACTTTGGAGATACTTGAAGTTGAACACCGTTTTCAGTGGCTAGACTATACAGCATTACGTTGCCTCATGATTTCAGCGAGTTACAAGAAAGTCAGTTTGACCAATGAGAACCTTCTCGGAAAAAATAATGTGCCAAAGGTTTCCTCTGCCCATTAATTTATAATCTCATTTATGATGACGAGAGTTTGCATTTAAGTATGAATGTAGAATGGGGTAAAAGCAAAATCCAAAGCGTAATCAAGCCGTAATTTACGACTTGTTTAAAGAGTGTTTCCCATACCTGTTTGTCATACATATAACATTACATTTTCTGGATTGAATTTCGACCTTAACTATTAAAGACGAGTCGTCAATGGGCACAAAAGGTCATATGGTGCAGAAAATATTTTTCCGTATATATATATGTTTATTTATTTCACATAAAGTTTTGATAGCTGTTTACTCAAAACAGGTAACAGATACGACTTCAGTTAAATTGTAAGTAAAATGAGTTGCATAATTTACGTAATATTCAGTATTAAATAGGTCACATACCAGTACTATCCTCTGTCCCTGAGCCATGACCGAACATGAGATACCAATTCTGATTCAAATCGAACATAGCTGTTGTGGATACACCTTGTCTTTTCCTCCGGGTGACAAGTTCAGTTTTTGAACGTCGGAATTTACAGGTAAACACGCCATCTTTGAAACTTCCACTTGTCATCGACAGTCCTCTTGTTCCTTCCACCTGATCCGGCATATAAAAAACATTTTTGTCATAACATTTTCAACCATGTATCTATTCATTTGGCACATTTAGAATTAATTCTTATTCATATTCTTTATTTAACTCAGTTTTCAATATTTTTTCGTCGGCATATTGATATGTAAATATAAATTAATAAATGATAATAATTCGAGTTTCTTATATACCGCTTTATCACAACTTAGTGCGTACGTCGTCTCAAAGCGGTTCACAAATTATTATCCGTGGTTATAGGGCCTTTGCAACCAGTCAATATCTTTCTCAACTCCCTGGGGAGCATACAGCCGGTGCTGCCATTTCGGCGCTCACAGCTAGCATTCTACAATTCTAGCCCTGCCAAACCACGTGCTCATTTACAGCTGTGTAGACTGGAACAAGCAACGTAAAGTAGCTTGCTCAAAGATACAATACAGTGCCGTGCCGTGCCGTGACTCCAACCCGCAACCCTTCGGTCACGAGCCCAGCGTCCTACCACTAGACGACCGTGCCTCCTAAAGGTAGTACATATGTGTATGACCATATTTATCTTCTTTTGGATAGCTAGGATGGGGTAGGGGCTGGGTTCTATCCCCTTAAAAACAATGTCATCTCGTAATTTCACTACAAATAAATGCAACTATATTTTCTAATCTAGCCACATATATGAATATGCTTTGGTGTTAACTTCACAATCGTTCACTTATGATTTACTACACCTAGGTATACTTTTATATCATATTTCCAAAACTTAAGTTCTAGTTTACTACCCTTATATTTTAATCTGGGTTATCAACACAACATCACAGCGTTTGGATCAATACCAGTATTTACAACAGAATAATTCATTAACAGCCTGCTTTTAATCTGCTTAACTATATGTAATTTATATAGAACATAAGACAATTGATATCATTAGAGTCGGTATGTGTGTAGAGTCGATCAGACAGGCTTTAGTTAGTAGTATAATCTCAGTATAACACTCCTCGTTTTAGTTGTTTTCTCGTGTATATGGCGAACGTTTCTCCACAGATATTGTGATACGAAATATATTACTTCACACATATTTTGAAAAAGCACACACTGCTCCAATTTTACTGAACTTCTGCATATTCTTACCGTGTCGAGGCGGATGTTTGACTTGCCCTCATTAAATGATCGAGTCACTATAACGTTTGTCCTAGTACCAATACAGTCTACTGTATCATCGTCACCCTGAAACAAAAAATCACGTACAGTAACACCTTAATAAAATTGATTGTTACTCTACAGTAACACCTCGATATGTGTCTCTTGATTGTTACTCTGTAGTAAAACTTCGATATAATGTTCCTTGATTGTTACTCTGTAGTAAAACTTCGATATGTGTCCCTTGATTGTTACTCTGTAGTAAAACTCGATATATTGTCCCTTGATTGTTACTCTGTAGTAAAACTTCGATATAATGTTCATTGATTGTTACTCTGCAGTAAAACTTCGATATATTGTCTCTTGATTGTTACTCTGTAGTAAAAATTCGATATGTGTCCCTTGATTGTTACTCTGTAGTAAAACTTCGATATATTGTCCCTTGATTGTTACTCTGTAGTAAAACTTCGATATAATGTTCCTTGATTGTTACTCTGCAGTAAAACTTCGATATAGTGCCCCTTGTTTGTTACTCTGCAGTAAAACTTCGATATAATGTCCATTGTTTGTTACTATAGAGCAACACTTCGATAACGTGACTTGTTTGTAACTATGCAGTAACACTTCGATATGTGACCCTTGATTGTTGCTCTGTAGTTAAACTTCGATAATGCCTCTTGTTTGTTACTCTGCAGTAGCACTTCGATATGTGACCCTTGATTGTTGCTATACAGTAAAACTTCGATAACGTCCCTTGTTTGTTACTTTAAAGTAAATCTTCGATAACGTCTCCTGTGTGTTACTATACAGTAACGAGAGTTGTCATCAAACTTTGTTTCAAAATGTATACCTGCCAGAACTTCCGAATGATTGACCACTTGTATTAAAACAGTTATCACATTGTAGCTGGGATTTGACTATTGGTATTGAATTGATCGATAACTGTTAATGAAAGGAAAAGCTTCATATCGTAGGGAAGGTTAGAGCCTTTTAACTCGACCAAATAAGAAACGTATTCCTTAAATAACAATATTCTCTGTCGCAAGGTCTCACCATTTTCAGATCAGAGGAGAAGGCGATAGCGATCCAATGGACGCCGTCTATTTCTAACGTTGATGTCACCTCGAAGTCGACGTAATCCGGGCCATCCTTCCACGTGACTACATAATCACAATGGTCGCCCTCACAGCTCACAAAACAGCCCTTCGTGTTACCGCACGTGTCGTCCAGGGTCACCCTACCCACTACTGGTGTTGTCTGCAAAACATACAACAAAATGTTAAGCTAGTAATTCCCTAACCTTTTTCTCTACCTTAATGTTCATGGTTTATATTTAAAACGCTTTTGGTTTTTTTGGTGTTTTTTTATACCAACTGTTTGAATGACGTTTACAAACTATCTATTGGAAAAGAAACAATTAACCTACATTAAATATATATATTTGGAAAATTGAACAACAGAAACAAATGTATAAAACCGTTTGGTATTAACAATGGGCCTTAGTTTTTCCTGATAAATATAATCTACCCATTCTATGGAAAACATTGCATTTTGTATGATTAAGATGGAAGAAAAACCCATTACTGCTAGTATTTGTCAAAAGAACGTCGGCGTTATTAAAGTGTTTTGCAATAAAGAAAAAAGACGTAAAACGAAAAGACTTAAAATCGAAAAAATGGGACCATGGAAAACGTTGGAAATAAGTGAGTTGGAAAATGCCCCGAGGCGCATTGTAAAGAGGTTTACCAAAATGAAATTATCCACTGAAAAATCTCAGTTTACTACTGTCGTGACTCATTTCATTACACCATTTATACTTTAATGTATTAATTCCCTATTTATTTACTATTATTTTGTCTACTTCATTTCTACTTCAATCAATTATTCTATTATTTTCCTACTTAAATCCTATTTCAATGTAGTACTTGTTTACGTTTACTTCAACTTATAGATTCTATTACACCACTTCTACATCAATCAGACATACTCATTCAACGAAGTTACTAATATGTCTGTACATATCCGGCAGAATCTTTACTCGAGGTTTTACGTCCCTGCGACAGATGGAGGCATAGGGAGATTTGTATGTATGGCAGCAGTACATGCCATTCTTGCTTTGACTTCCTGTTTAGAATACCTGCTGAACAATGTTATAGGGTTGTGCTTACCATTTCTGGTTTAGGTTCCGTTGTTACCACAGGAGGCGCCGGTGTAACCGCCTTCGTCGTTGGCGGCTCTGCTGGAGTGGTGACTTGTGGTCCCGGAGTGACTGGTGGCTTTGTTGGCGGAGGTACCGTGGCAACAGTGGTAATAGGTGGCTGTGGAGGTGTTGTCTGGGGAATCATCATCGGTGTGATTGCTGGAGAGTTCACATTTACCCAGAAAACGTTGTAGTTCTGTAAAACGGTTGCACTGAAACGCAAAATACGGGCTTTAAAAAACAGCAAGCAAGGTGTATACTATAAATACGATACATTAGTTCAATATACCGGTATGTTGTATACAATTCCTCAAATCTATGTTACTAACAGTGTAAAACCTAGTGATACGCTGGATTATATAATAATACCTTATTTCCAAGTCTAACACACGAACACGACGGTTTCCCAATTTAACACAAGAACACCACATTTTCTCCAGACATGGAATGTTGCGTTTTTCGAACACATGAACATGACGCTTAACATGATTAAGATATTTTCTCTATCCAACACATGAACATATATAAACACCACGTTTTCTCCATTTAACTCATATCATTTCCCATGTCTTCCCTTTCCAACACTTGCATAAACACGAAGTTTTTTTCTATCTAACATTTGATATTTTTCTATATTTTCCTTCCCAACACTTACATAAACACGAAGTTTTTTCTATCTAACATATGATATTTTCCTATATTTCCCTTCCCAACACTTACATAAACACGAAGTTTTTTCTATCTAACATACGTGATTTTCCTATCTTTCTCTTCTCAACACTTACATGAACACGATGTTTCCAACCGCTGGGTTGGGAGCCTGCCATGTGAAGCTTACTCCCGGCTTGTCTCTGGCGTTTTGGTGGGTCAAAGCGCCATTCTGTAAGCAAAAGTAAACAATTATATTTTCACGCCTTCACACACAGACCAACTGACCGTTAAACAAAACGTTCGACGTCCCGTAATATTTAATAAACGTGATAAAATGTAAACACACGGAAAACGTTTTAAAAAATATCTAGTGTCATACATTATATAGTGTTGCAACATGTATTCTGGTCCTCAATGCATGGTTTTGTATTTGACATTGTGGCAATACAAAATGATGTAATAGACAGAACCCTATTTTTGGCTAGAAGTCAATTAATTCACGAATGGTTTCCGAATATTTTACGATAGTGACGTCATTAATATGTATATATAGTCGTCTTTGTTGTTCGCTTCAAGTCTTTGGCAAGCAAATTTAATATCAATAACTCTTGCAAATATGTACTTAAGGTCATTAATTCAGTTGTTTTTTAATCAATGAGTCACATGTGTCCATTTTTCTATACTTCAGGAAACAGGCTACCTATTTCACTACTGTGAAGTTTTTCAAGAACGATAACTCTTACATGCAATTACTATGTGTATATGGTTTAATCATAAAATGTCCATTTTTAATTGTTTAAAGATAATTAATTTCAACATTTATGAAATTGATATACATTAATGCAATACTGATCTATGTCAGTATCATTTTTATTGACATTATTTTGCAAAAAAATGTGTGTTTCATTTTTGTTTTCAAAATTCACTCTTTTTTACATGAATTTCCATTCAAAATCCTTAAAATTCTGACAACCTATTACTTTTTTATGGCAGAAAATTTTCTTTACTTCAAAGTAGTATAACTACAAAATTTAAAGAAATTCTACTGAGAAATGGCGACACAATCCTATTACCTTAACTCAATATCACAAACGTCTTTATCTGATGGCGAAGATTGCACTCGTTTATTGCGCAGCCGTTCACATCAACTCGAACGCAACGAGCACTCATAAAGTAAGGATACCACTGCAGTTAAATCGCGAATAACAGTTCCTTGTAAGAGCTGTTTTTCCGACTATAAGTACTTTTCCTTCTTTCTTCAGGATGGATTAATGAAAACGATTTTTTCTAACTAAAAATTTCTTTCCTTGTCGAGGTATTTATCTCTCATTTTTATGCTGTGCATTTATAATTGTTGGATAGAACGTTGAAAACTGTAAGTTTGTCATTGCTTATCCTTCGAGTTCTACCCTTTCGTTTCATTTGTTTTATTTTTGTATTTATTTTTTAATGTTTATTTTTTATAATTTATGTACCAAATGTTTGATCATTCAATATTCCATAGGATGCATCGCAAGGTGTGACATATAAGGGATGTTCAAGTTGAAAATCACTTGAAAAAGATTTCATAATTATGACAAATGTAGGAATTACATCTTAACTTGATCGTTCTGTTTACCATGATCCGCGACATTTTAATATTGTTTGCCATTCCTGTACAATCGGAATAAAATGACAATACTCCACGAATTGATTCATTTTTTAACAACGACAACATCGCACTGTGGGTCCCTTCGTTAGATATATGTACACTCACCTCAACCCCACAGTTGATTGTTCTTCCCCCGGCGGCTGACGTGAATTGTCCCACCACCTTACCCACTCCATCTCGGGCCTGGATCTGGTAACCTTTCAGCAAGACCCCATTTCCGGCCAAGTTCACTATTCAACATATTGTTGGTACAAGCTTTATTATACTTTATGCTTATATACGTAAAAATAACCCTTAGCGGTAACCTTATTTTAGCGTATTTCATGATGACTGTGAAGCGGTAAATTAAAAACAGCAATTCGATATGGAATAAAGATTATATTTTTCGATTTTTTCTTTATACATGTTCACATTTTGAACTTATTGCTTCATATCTTTTTTCATATATAATTACTGAACATTGTTGAATGTCGACATTGATGCGCAAAATTAACATCCCGCAAATATGTCGAATGAAGAAAATTGCGAAAATAAAACTTTAAATGATATGCAATACACTTTGAAACATATTTGATATATTAACCATATTCAATTTGTTTATTATGGTCCGATTTTTATGATCAATATTATGACGTCAACAATCGGACAATATATTTAATAGCTAATATTGAGGCATTGCTTACAATGTTAAGTGCGTTTTTGTTTTTCATACAAGGTTAACATCATTTAAGATTTCAAAACAAGATATTGCATTTCAGCTTTTCTTTCAAGCAGATATTGATTTTACCTGAGATTAATTCCCCGGGTGAGTACGTTGACTTGATAAATTGGAAAAAATAAGGAGACTGACTGGTCTGTGCAGGACTGCCATTATGTAGGGGAAACATGGTAGAGCACGTAGACGATGGCGCTCCCATACTGTAACTCCAAGCCACGCCCACATTGGCGAGCAGCACCACCACCCTCCACATCCTAGGTCGTTTCGCTGTCAATGAAAATTTTCAAAATTTAGCAAAGCTATTTGTTAATTCATGTATAAATATTCGTGTAAGTATAAGACCTTAAATTGGCGAAAAAATCTATTTCACATACTAAGTTTATTTTTTTACGTTCCTTACCAGATTTACAAATAATTTGAAATGCATCATCTTATTACTGGTAATAACTGTTGTTAACAGAAACAGTTTTCTTTCTTTTTTCATTGTGTTCAAAATACCATACTGCAGCATTCTTCCAGAGTACCAAACGTTAATGACAAAATTCCCAAATGTTAAAAATACCTGTTCGCTTTGGCTTAACCATTGTTAAGACATCCGGACTACGTTTAATAAGGAAAAGGATCTGTAACTGTTGAAATTGGTAATTTTACCAATCATGTTCCAATGTGAAGATGCAGGATTATGTTGTAATCAACCCATGTGCGTGTATTGCTGTAGACTATCTAACGAATGCATCATTTTCCTCAAATTTTGAAAACCTTGCTATATATCCCACCGAAATATAAATATGCTGATTGAATTGAGCTTACAACGTCAATTTATTGAAATGTATTTTTTTGTCTGACTAATAAGGGGGTTGATATTGGTATATTGGCTATAGAAAGTAATCGTTCCTTGTACTCAATTTGCACATCATAGATTAATCGTTTCTTACAAATCACTACATACTAAAAGGTGTCGTTCTTTCACTCCGAAAAAACCGGAAATAGTGAGAGAGAAAAAAGGTTTTACCAATATTTAGCAAAGGTCAGAGAATGTAACGAACGGCAATTCCCAAGCTGGTGTATGATCGGTAAACGTAGAAATCATTCTGAGTGAGTCACAAGTCAGGGCTATCACGATAGCATCAACATTCTACCTTGTCATTGCATTAGTGTTAATTTACTTTTTGTAATTTTACAGGTGTCTGTGACCTTTTTATCACGTTTTTATGAATCTTTCAAATGTATGCATATTATATGCTAATATTTTCCATGATCACTGGAGGCCATGGCGATGATGGACGAGAAAATAAAACATCTGGTGTTAAGATTTATGTGAGTAATTTCCGGTGATGAATGACGAAAGTTTATATGCTTTTCAAATGAAAGAAAACATTGCACATATTTCATAACTTTTTATTAAAAACTACGAGTGCTGCGGTTTGTGAATAAATTTATCATATAACAGTATTTAAGATCCGAGTATTACAATATTCGAGTTACTATGCACTAAAAAAAAGAAAAATTATTTCGGTCAAATTTAAGACTAACAAATTGGTGACAACCAGACTGTGGTGTATTCTTTTATTCTACAACATTATAAGTCAGTTAATTATCTCAGTTCACAATTTTTTTTATAACATAGTTACTATATGGTAAAATGACCATAAACTAAACACAGAAAAATGTTCTGAGGTAGGTTATACTTGATGCAGGCACATTCTCTATAGTTATAATTCCATGAGACAAGTCTTGAGCGTAATATGAAGATTAATCGCATGCCAGCTAGGTCTTGTTTAACAAATATGAATTGTTTATGCAGTTATGAAGTCGGAAATAAGGTTGGAGAAACAACATTTAACATATTTTACTTTTTTTGTATGTGCTATTTAATTTTGAGTTGCTAATTACATTTTCTCGTTTTCTTATTTATTTTTTATATATCGATGTTGACATTAATATCAAATGTGTGAACTATGAACGCTTCCTAATTACAGTCTGTCACTTAAAAATATTTTGGTTTTAAACTTTCAAAATAATGAAGTTATGTATGTATTCAAGTCTATCATTACACTCTTATTTGTCTGTCTATCTGTCCTATCAACAACAATGTTAACCATCATGTTTTACATTATTTTTGTAATATTTACTGTTAATAACATGTCTAGTTTTGTTGTTCTCTCTCTTTTTGTTGTTGTTGTTCCTTGCACAATGACAACTATCCTTAGAAACAGCAGGATGGTTCAACGGAGGACTATTCCAACTGTGTTTTACGTTCATTTAAGCAAATGAAGTGGACAGAGAGTCCGTGTTTGCCAGGAAGTCTTCCTTGATACTATACCAGTATTCTTACAACGTAGTGTTATCGCTATCACAATATTGTCATTCAGAGTTAGAGGAAAGAGATTTAATAACTGCTTTAGCTTGTTGAATCATCTTACTTGTTATCGAAGCAATAAAATATGTTCGAAACCAACTTTACACCCCCCTATTATAAACAGATTAATTAATTTAATTAAGAGTTAGTCCCAAATTTTAATGTGATTTCACAGTGTATATATTGAGTGCGCTACACAAAAACGACACTATTCTCGACTTCATATATACAATCTTCAGAATGAATTCGCCAGGACATATTTTTCAGGTTAATTGGAGTAAATTGATAAATTCCGTCCCCGAGAGATAAGATTTGCATCCTTTTCAAACTTTTATAAAAGTTTGTCACTTTCATCTTAACTGTAAAACTGCCGACATAAGCAAAATTGATATCTTCTTAATAATACTGAAATTGATGCAAGTCATGAGGAGATATGTGGGTAATAAGACAACACTCAAATAATTAAGTGTTCTAAAACTGACAGGTTCGACTTTATAATCTTACTCAAACATCTATCTCTTACCTATCTTCATATTAACATTGTAAGGGCATTTCTATAAGAGATGAGAAAATGTGTGTCATTAATAGCACGGAGCAGATTTAAAACTGTTGTACATGATCATTATGGCTGTTATTATATTTATGATTATGTGTCGGGAATATTGTTCAGTTAAATAAATCACAGATTTGTCACTTTTAAAGTACGAAAGGTTCTCTCCATGCTGCCTCGATTAGTTCTTATTATTTTTTCCTTTCTTCCATGCAGTTCATATAAATCTTCTAAGAAATGCAAGTACACTTTATCAATGTGTAAACTTAACATATAAAGAAATAATTGCTGGTTAGTTCGGACTTATTGTAAAGGTCTGAATTTTCTTCTGTTAATATAATTGACAAATTCACGGGTGACTTTTTTCGTGGATTTCAAAAAGATTTAGTTGTTTTTACAAACCTTTTATATCTGACCACAAGATTTGTCATTGTCATTGCAACCGTTCCCCGACTTTTATGTAACAGACTATAACTAAAATAAGGGACAGATAGCACTATGTAGTCGTGACCTGTACGATCATTGTACAGTGAGGACAGGTACACACAAAGAGTAGGAGGCTACTAGGTACAGTTATACATCCTATACGATTTTAAGGATGTTATTTTTCTTTGGAAAACAATTGCCACAAAGAATGGAAACCACATGAATTAAATACGTTTACAGTAATGCTCGTCTACCACTTAGACTAATAGCTAACGTACATTTGTATACTCTAAAGATATCGGATTCAGTGATTTTATATTGTGATCAAACTTCGACACGAAAGGTCAAATGTTACGTTTATAAAACAAGATTCCTCAGACATCATTGTTTTACTATGTTTATTCCACTGCTTCACTCCGAGGTCATCCGATCAACTGATGTCCTGGTCATTATGTTATTAACCAAAAGGACATGTATTATTCAGCTTTACTTATTTTATTAAAAGAAAAAAGGGCAAAAACGCATTGTTATTAGTTTTAATATATAACGGGGCTAGAGTTTATCGCCGTAAACAAATGTCATCTTGTTGAAAACCTCTATTGACGTCATGAATTGGGTTGTGTAAGGCACTGTGAATCAGGCGCTACAACACGTCAAAGCTTTTAACTTAACACGTGTTTTTACTTGTATGAGGAAATTAATCAGGCAGTCATGACCAGAGATATAAATTGTTCGATCGTATTTGTCAAATCGCCAGTACATGGTTTATTAATTTACCGAGTTGTTGTTTAAGTAATTTACATTATTATCGTGACAATGAGATCACAATGTGATATAGTTGAATGACAAGATGTCCTGAATCAACTCATACTGTAAGAGCAATACGATCTACTTACATATATATTGACTTTGAAGTTTGTACAGTAATGTATGAATTACAATATCAACCGTAAACTTTAAAACAGATTTTGGAATGATTAATTTAATAAAAGGAAAGAGGGCGGCGAATTCTTTTTAAAAACACAAACACCCTCTCAAGTCCTTACTGTAATGTCTGTTCGTAGGCAAATAACATGAAAGTGGTAGTGATTTAGTATCCGACAGTTTTCATAGTTGCCTATAAATCGCTTTAGATCAAAGCGCGTTTATGATTTCCGGGAATAATGCTGTAAAGTGCGCCTGACAAGCATGTCACACAAGCCCTACTGGGGCGCATGTCGGAGACATGTAGGGTTAAGGGGTCCCACTACTACAACTACCACAAAAACCTATCAGCCCCGCAGCATATCAGAAACCATTGTACACAGGCAAAAACGGTGCGGTGTTTGCAGGTGTCGGGCACTTTGAGGACCAACATATTAAAACCTTTTGTCTGTAACAAGTAAAAACCTTTGTCTAAACATGTCAGTGGAGTCAGTGTTTTTTGCACAAGATGCTGTCTAGGAAGAAAGAATGTTCATATGATCTGAACGATATCAACATGAATTGCGAACGTATTAGCTTTCTTATATAGCAAAACATACCAAGTTTGAAAAATAGGGTTCCAAGTAAAAACAAAAATGTATATTGCTCTGTCATAACCTGGCATTATTTAACATTCTTCTTCTTTGAATCAGAATTTAGCCTGGAAACCCCAATGTCACTTACAGTAAGCATTTCTATATGAGTTCGCCTCCAGGCAACACTTAATTCATGTGATTGATAAGGGAACATCCCTAATCTTGCAGCATACTTGCATATGCATTAAGCTCCAATTAAGAGAAAATGACATCGATCAAGTGCAAATATAGAAACTAATTACTAACAGTAATATACCATATATTACATTTAAATTAATACTATGAATTGGTCGACAAACGCAGTAGTCAAAACTATAGTATATAAATATAATATATAACGTTCTCGAGGAGAAGTTTAGTATTTGAAAGCCAT